GAATCAGAACAAAAACTCATGTCTTCAACGACATGGGTAGCCTTTGGCCAGAATTCGGTGATGGGTGCTACCCCGTTGTCGATAATGTCCCCCGCGTGTTTGACGTGATCTTCCCAATACCGAAAAGCCCTATCTATTCTAGACACCTCTTCGTCTTGGAAAGTCATCCAAGTTTCTATTTTTTTTTCATAGACTTCCAAAAACCTCTTCACACCCTCCAATCCGTTGTCTGTTTGTTTGAACTAGTAAAGAGGACCATCCTCGGGCAACCACTTAGCGTCTGTGCAATACTCTTTATAGGACATGGCGGGATTATCACCTATCATATAGAATTTCAGCAAATGAGGCTTCGAAATCCTCGTCATGCGCTTTGAAACATGCGGGTAAATAAGACCTCTGCAGTCTGCTATCCTATCAAGAAAAATACACCGCGGAGGAGTCTTATGAGACCGCTCTAGCAAAACGAATAACTCATCCATTGTGTAGGCATCATTGTCTTTGAGTTTCTTGGAGAAAACACTAAAAGTGGCATCGGCGTCTGTGTGCGTGTGTCCAACTATCATAAAACCAATTTCTATTTTTTTGAAAATCTCGAATTTCACAAGAAGTGTTGCCAATGCGCATATGAATCTATTCTTGTTTTCYTTAAAGCAGTTGTCAGCTTGAATACGAAGAAACGGTGGTAGACCTTTCCCACTCGATTGGATCTCCGTAAGAGTCCGCATTAAGCACGTCGCCGTACTGCTAGGGCCGTGTGTGTAGTAAGGAAAATATGTGTAAACATATATAGACGGATCCCGACCATGGACCAGAACGGCCGTGAGACCAGTCTTCATCATCCTCTCGTGGTGCAAGTCCTTCGAGGAGTTAGGTTGTCCTATATGCGGTATGGTAGTTTTCTTCTGATCCATGCCGTCGATAAATATGCACAGATACTCAGACTGCCGCAAGATAGAATTCATTTTGCAGCGGCTATAGTCTAGTCTGTGGTTGACTTGCAACTCTTGATGTTTCCGCATCCTATCTTTGGATTTCTTACGGTCTCTCTCGTACTTCGACTTAGCGATGCACTGCTTGTAGAATATACATTTTGCGCACTTTCTGAATGTGTTGGACATAGCTAGACTCACGTGCCAGAAGTGCTTACTCCACATAGCGTAGAAAGTCGACTCCGACACAACTTCCGAGTGATACATCAAAAGATCTGATCGCAACGACTCGTAAATTGCTCGTTTTGTGAATGTTGCAGGAACCCTACTGCGAGGACGACAAACTCCGTCTTTCCAGRCCATGTCATTCGGCATACTATCGGCGTGGTCGTCGATGAATCGTTTCAACAACGCAAGCATTATGACGACTTTTTCGGATGGTTTAGACAAGCCCGAGTGCCCATGCTCCTTAACGACAACACTGTTATCGTACATCCTTTTGTAGACATAGAAGGTGTTACGAGAAGTTTCACTGCTTCTGATCGTGGACCAGAGATTGCTGCTGGGATGGTTGGATTTGGCCGGCGGCGTATTATCTTGTTTTCCAACCATCCTGATTTACGTCGTATATTAACGACAGCCGCCCCTCGAAAATCTCGGCGTATCTGTTTCATACTCTGGAGAGCCTGGCTATTCGCAACATACTTGTATGAAACACGCCCGGTGGTTTTTGGGGGCGATTCGATGAGGGACCTAGCTGGCAAGATAATTCGAAGAAACTTTTTGAGTTCTTCTGTTCCCCCGGGCAATTATCCCACCAGCATCTCACGTTCACTGAGGCTGGCTACTTCGATATATGCACGCCAATGGAGCTGTAGGTTTGCTGGTAATAGGAATATCTGAAAAAACTCTCACCCATATTTTACCATTTCTCCGAAATTTCCTGGTGGGGTCCTCTGACTTCCAATAGGTACATCAAACAAACCAGTGGATGGTATTTAGAGCCTAATCCGCGTTCGCTCGCCACTAAAAATCGTTGTTGGCTATCTTCTCTTTTTTGGTCGGCGGCCGGTCTGTCGAGAATGTTACAGTATGCCTGCACGCACATCTTCCGTTTGCAAGCTATAGGCCTGACCCGCTCAGCACCACCTTCCATAACCGTGAAGTCATGTATGGTTTGCAACCACCACTTCGTCCTTTCCGTGAAACTTTTCGAGTAGAATGCCTCCCGCACCGGCCTCACATCCTCGGCTGTCATTTCAGCGCAACACATCCGCCTACAACAAAGCATCCCTCGAACTGCCTGAAGTGACTGCGTCCTGAGTTTGCCCATAGCTCGCCGATGTTCTGTCTTTTTGGCGGGTTCTTTGTTTGCCATAGAATAGGGTCTTTTTTCACCGGGCATAGATGCCGACAAAATGTACCATATGTGGAGGTCTTCTTCGGACAGACAGCGCGAGGTCTGACTATCTCGTGAATAACTATACTCAGTAATTTCATTTGTAGATTGTTCTTGACTCTCCTGACACTGTGGAGGGGTAGATGAGGAAACCCTCTCACCTCCATCGACAACCCCAAAGGATGAAGCGGCAGAAGTGCAGTTGTTCACACTATACACGTACTCCGTCCCACTATAACTACACTCACCGAGATTCCCCTCGGTTATTGAATGCGACATCCCAACGTCGGTCATTTCAGAACATGCTGAAGAGACTCGGGATGCGCTATCGACATTAAGAAACAGGCCCCCGGTTCTAGTGTTGATGTGGTATTCGACAACGTCAGAACCTATGTACCAATGCGCGGTGCTGGTGGACAACACTGTTCTCTTTCGTCGATGCTGAGGGTATGAGTGTCGTGATCGTTTTCCAGAGTAAGTGCATGGCTCTAGTCGAGACGAAGTGCTGTCGACACAGACGCCCATAATCAATCCCTCCCCAGCCAATCACCGCTGCAAACATAACAGCAGGCAAGCCAGCCTGGGAGGGTAGTCTTGATCGACCATCGTCGCAGCACACCTGTGAAGCATGTGTTGACAAGCATTCAATCTTTCCCTGCGAGCAGAAGAACAGACATTGACCATAATCAGAAACGGGACAGTTGTTGGAATTTGACAATGAAAAACCGACAGAGATGCGTTGGCTCATTGTGGAGTTCAATACTGGGCAACACAACGAAAACAACAAGAGAGTGCACCGACTCCAAAGAGGGCGGAGAAGTACATGACATTTGACTTGTACAGCGTACCATGAACCGAACGGCAAGCATTGCATGGCGCATATTATACATGTTTCCTCTAGAAACGGTTGGTGCGCTTGTATGTAACAGATTGTTGAGTCGGATGAATCCGAAACAACGATGCAACATAGGTATGGGAAAACCGGATCGTCTTTAACGTCTGAGGTTCTTATTTCGGATGCATCCGAGACACTTATATCATGTTAGATTCAGATCGCCGCAGCGTAGACTAACATTACGTCCTGTATGCAATGCCAAGACGGATCCGCACGTGTACAATCGGCGAAAGCGATCACTAGCCTTCCTCGTCGGGGGGAAATTGACAACCTTCTCGAAGTGCCAAACTGTCGGCGGTCAGCGTTGTTGAGTGGCAAAAACACTCTTAGGGAACCTTGCGGTCGTATTCGGAAGATGTTGGCGCAACACCAGATGCTCACCAAACTGTTCTGGATGTCGATTTAGTGGACAAATCACACGATGACTTTCTAGCAAGCAGTGGTTGATTGCTGGCCCCCCTTCCCGGTCTAGATCTTTGAGAGCAGAGTTTCACACTCCACCGTAAGATCCATATCAGAGAGGGGGACTTGCTGCCCTGCCGCTGTTTACTGTAGTCATCACGAGGGAGTCCATGATGCGAGGACCCGAAAATGAACAATCCTAGGGGACTTTGCAGCCGCGTGAGGAACTTATTGGCGTAGCACTCGATGCTCACTAATCAGTTCTGAATCTCGACTCTATCAACACATCATATGATGCCTTACAAGCAAGCAGTGGTCGATTGCTGGTCCCCCTCCGCGGTGTGGATCTATGAGAGCAGATTTGACGCAATCCACCGTTAGACCCACATCGGAGAGGCGGACCTGCCATCATGCCGCTGCTTACTGTAGTCATCATGTGGGAGTCGATAATGCAATTACCCGACGATGTTCCAATTGGGACGTGCTCTTGTGTTCTGTGCAGGTGCTGATCGTCGGTTCGTGAGCAGTGTATTGACGGAAAGAGGAGCTTCTTCCAGCAGGGGTCGAGGGAAATAGAGGACTTATTCGGCGACGAGAAGGAATAAGCTCGTGCTGCAGGCAACTTCGGATAGACCCGAGACCCAAGAAGTCATCCAGGACATGGCCGATTGCAGCGCCTGCCAGCGCCGCTCACGTCTCTTTTCGCCAGGCAGCGGCCCGTGCACAGATGGGTAAGGGTCATGGGCACCACAGTTCATGCCATCCAATCCGAAAACAATCGCTGGCAATTGCCAAAGAGGATGCTGCGAGTCCGTTTGGATGGCGGAGCACTGTTAGGGAACATTGCACGCCTCCAAGATGTGCAAGCTCAAAACGCGATGATGTACGGTTATTGAGTCGCAATGAAGGAATCTCAGTGGTTGTTTCTCGGTCAAGGATCGTTCGGGGGAACTCTTCATGCGTGTTCCCGCTCTAACGTTGGGTGGGCACGCACGTGTCCGGTTGGTTGAGTCGGATGAATCCGGAACACAAATGGAACGTCATATTCGCAAGTCCGCAGCGTGCGAGGTCCGTATATCGGATGCATCCGAGACACTTATGGCCCTTGGGATTTAGACCACCTGCAGCGGAGGCCAATAGTACGTCATGTTCGCAATCCCTTGCACCGATCAGCACGTACGAAAGTGGAGGAAGTGACCAGCAGCCTTCGACGTCGTGGATAAATGAAAACCTTCACGAAGTGCCGAACAGTCGGCGGGCGTTGTTGTTGAGTGGCAAAAACACTCTTACGAAACCTTGTGGTCATTTTCGGAACGTATTGGCGCAGCAGCATATGCTCAGCAAGCACTGGTTAGTTGTTGGCCCTTTCTTCCAGGTGTGGGTGTTTGAGAGCAGAGTCTGACACTCAACCACGAGATCCACAATCGGAGAAGGGTACCTGCCATAACGCCGCTTGTTAACTACTGTCAGCATGAGGGATTCTCCTTCTCCCTTGGACAAGAGGTTTGACAACACGTCCAGATCTTGTGACATATGGGGTTTCCCGCGGTCGAGGTCGTGAACCGAAGCCGTACATGGCATTCATAGATGATCCGTATACGTGGCTCTGCGGTTTGTGGACCGTTGCATCGCCCAAAAATACGGACATGTATTTCATCCTAACAAACCGTCCTCGTCGTGCTAAGGAATTCCCTATAGAGTCTCGTATGTCCGTCACTTTCTCTTCCACCTCACACCACAATGATAAAACTCTGACCTGACCTGCTCTCACCAAATCTGACCGCCCATCTACATCGGGCTGAGACATCACCGCCGTGGCGAAAGGACATCCGTCATGAGTCAACCGCACACAACAATATGATATAGCTTGTGGAGAGTTCCTTGGGCAGCGAGGTGGGTAGTGTTCCAAGAATGAACAATGACGAGCGCAGTCCAGCAACTCTTGCTTCTGCGAACTTCCCCAAGTTCGTGGCGAAGATGTGATGTACTCGCGGTCGAGGCGACTGCTCCAGCTCCACCTGCTACGACAGCGAATCGTTTTACGCTTATCGTCAAGGATTTTTGGTTGGAGGACACCATCAGACAGTGCAATGAGGCTCCCGAACTCTAACATGTTCGCAAACTTGTAATGGCTTGCCCAAGGGCAGGCACGCTCCATCGCCTTCCAATCATTGTCGTCGCATTCGTCGATATGCCGATTCATGTACGGGACGACGGTAATCCACGGGTCGTCTTCGAAGTCCTCCTTGGATGCTCCGTCGGTCGACGTCTCACCGTCATGGTGCCGCACCGATTTTGCACAAGGAGAAAACGGATGTGCTAAGCGCATGTGTTTCTYGGGAGTCATGCTGATGCTTGTCGAAGGTCCCGACGACATTACGCACCCTACACATCACGCACACATAGACATACATACGGACGTGTAGACCGTCGTAAATAAGATTGGCAAATGATATCTCCCCTGGTGAGGCGAACAGCCAGTCGTCACGTCCCGCACTTTGTGTCGACAAGGCCCTCATCGAAGTCCCAATCGCAAGTCGCGAAGTAAACGAAGGCCTTTGCAGAAATCACTCGACGCGGACGACCATTCCATCCCGCATTGCAAAGCACACAGAGGCTTTCCAAAACGCAGAAAGTCCGTGGAGGATTTTCAAGAAGTCAAGCGAGGACACGTTGCAAAGCAGATGTGGGCTTTCCAAAAGTCATCCAATCCCACGCCGCAAAGTACATGGAGCGGAGGGGAGTAGTCGAATGACACACGCCCTCGTGAACACAATTTGTGACTCTGGATATTTTTGGGAAAAGCGAAACAACACAACGACGCTGCATAGTCTACATGACACGCCCCAAGTCGCACTACGAACAAGCCCTAGGTGAAAAAATAACATGTCGGACATAAGTCCAACCGAAGTCCTACACATAAGCTGATTCAAGTCGTAGACCCACACAAACGGTGACTCATGTCAAACTCCTACATTAGACAAAAGCTCATCCAAACCCGACACGATGTTCCCTTGCGAACACAACTCCCACACATAAGGTCGTCCAAGATCGAAACGCGTCGACAACACGACAGGGCCAGACCCATTGCAAAAGGCATGACAAGAGGGATGTAACTCGTATGGAGATTTTACTTTCTCCACATTTGTTCGCATCGAAGATGCAGCAATGTTCAATTTCACGTCAAGAATCCCCGTGGGGATGCACCGCATTCACAATCATGGCAGATGTCCAATTAGAAGGCGAAGCCCCTTCCCGTCTTTAGCCACATCCTGTGAGACCTAGGGTCGCCGGGAAGGGTATAGTTCGGATCCATCCGAGTACGGGTCAGCGGAACCATTTCCGTGTTCAGCAAAGTCACTCCCGCCCAGACCTCACGCCGCACCCAGGGTAGTGGTCCGGATTAATCCGAACTAGCTTATGGACAAAAGTCACGGGCAGCTGAGCACACCGCGCTTTGCAGTGTCAGCCCTTCGGCGGTCTATCCTGGAGGTTGTCCTCGCTGGCATTTCGACGATGCTGTTTATAGAGACAGGGAATTTGTTAATAAGGGTCGTCGAGATGCACCCGGAATCAAACGACGTCGTGTCCCCTTCGTCGGCCACGTGCCCCCTCCACCGGCAATGTGCGCGAGCTGGTGAACAAAACACAACTTAATGAAAAGGAAAATCCCTTCAGGCGCGCCTCTTCGGTTATTGCTCGGATGCATCCGAGTCATATAAACGAGCGGAAGAGTAGGGAAGGATCACGAAGGTAGAACTCCTTTGTCGTCGTCTGTTGCGTGCTCGTCAAGAATCCTGGTCCGGATGAATCCGATTCAAAATTTGCGTAAACCGTTGTCATCCCCTCCCCGTGAGACTTCGCACCGCCTGGGAGGGGTGTGGTGCGGATTCATCCGACACCGGTTCGGACGGTTCAGTTTCCTAATTTTCGAACTTCTTACCGGCGGGACTTCCCGAGACAGCGATCATGTGACTCGGATCCATCCGAACTACTTCGCACAAGTGGGATCCTGGCGGAAACAAGACGTCTTTCCTGATGACATGCATCCCCCGTGCGGAAGAACAAAATACGAACAGAACCCTGGAGTGTCGTTCCTAGCCCCTTCTCGTATGTAGTTCGGATACATCCGGACTTGAGTAGAAGGCCAATGCAGAGGGGTTAATCCCCAAACCACCCTCACCGTGTCCGGAAAGAACGACTCGGATTAATCACAGGTTGCAGGGTGTCAATCTGTGATTTCTCCACGAAATGATTGACGACTGACTTCAACAGAGATTGGAACATGCCATCGTTGTCAACAACCATGTCCACGTCGGAATGTGGCGTGTCCAATTCTTGGCTTTTGCAATGGGATGGTGCATGGAAGGCGATGCTATACCGATGTTGTGGGTTCACGATGGAACATGACAACGCTCCTTCCATCTTCGCTGCGCGTGACGGGTCTTCGTGCAATGTCGACAATGCGCGTCAGGTGTGTGATGCCCGGTGTCGAGTGCGTTTCTGCGTGCTGGCTTTTGTGTGGCAAAGGGCGACACGTTGCAGTTAGTTGTTGGGGATGCATGTATTGTGATAGTTTAACGCGCAGCGTCCAGTCGACAGGCACACGGGATGACAAGGGATAGCCGTCACAAGATCTGGAAAACGACAAGACCCGCGCTACGCAGGCTGCGTCTGCAAGCCGATTTGTAAGTTCCATGGCGCGACCACAACATCCTCACTACGTCGTTGATCTGGCGGCATATATTCGTGAACGGGCGAGATCGAGGTAGTTGTCATGGCTCCCAAACTGTTGGTCGTCCGCGACGGGTCTTCGTGGAACATGGCGAAAGCGGGTGAGGTGTGTGACGGTCGGTGTCGGGTTGCATCCTCAGTGCAGCGAGAAGTTGGTTCGAGACGGGCGATAGATCTTCGCGGTGCGCGTCTGGGTTCGATAAGGAGCACATGCTTTCAACGTGTGAGTTTGGCGCGCAGCTTGTCCGATAACAAGAGCATAAGGTGATGGGATCACCACAATGACATCACAAAGAGTGCGTGAATAATACAGTCCACAGGAATAGGGGATCGTCAAGTGGGTCAGGAGGCGACATCGCGGACACCAAGACCAATGGCCTTGCGACGTCGCCTACTTGTCAGATGTGGTCGTCCGGGGCGTCCGATGAAAGACCCAAACTATTGCCTTTTGGCGACGTCATTCAAGAGACGAACACGTCAGCATATGTCCGTAGCTCCTTACTTCCTCTGATCAGTTGACGCGAGTGGGGAAGACTTGTGACGTGGACTGACATGTGTGCGCCATCGCATGTCGAGATCGTGCGGCGATCGTCGCGTGTGTACATGACAAGGCAAACGAAGTTGTGCGGGCAACTGCATTTCGAACTTTCCGGGAAAATGGGAAACAAGAGCTGGCATTGAGTGGGGAAGAAGATGTGGACGGGCGATGAGAAGGGGGGAAGAAGATGTGGACGGGCGACGAGAAGACGTAGGGCCTTGGGAGAGTTACGGGGGCCGGGTGGAGGACGTGGGCGTTTTACTGACCTGTGAGCCGATAAAACCCTCAAACGGATGCACGAACGCAAGGTCGCACGCAGAGTCGCACGAAAGGTCGCATGAAAGGTCGCAAGCAAGGTCGCACGCAAGGTCGCATGTCACGTGCCGTTTTCGTAAGCGCCGGCAGCTATCGACGATTGTGCGGTATAATGACGTTGTGACAACGCTTGTGGCCAGCGATATGATGGTGGGCGTCTTCTAGCGATGGCGGACGCGTTGCCGTGGTAGAACACGAAAACGATGACACCAGCGAATGAGATTGACAGCACCCCGGTCCGATTCGTGCTGCGAAATGGCACGTGCGTTGCTGACCGGGGGTCGCGTTGGGAGCTGTGTCATAGGGTGGGCCCTCCCATTTTTTTCGGACCGTCCCGTCTGGAAATCGCCCTGTCCGTGACCGTTGAGGGACGGCTGCCCTGTTCCAACCGCTCGATCGGGGTCAATCGACCGCCGGTATGGAGCAGCTACCGAGAACATTCCCGCCCACGTATGTTTATCGGAGGCCGCAAATGTGTTCGCGGCCTCCGAACGAAAATTTCCCGGCAAATGACAATTTCACAGGGCCCATCTTGAAATGTCCCCCCTCCGCGCGTATTGCACCCGCCCGATCGCAACCTATCCACGATTCCCATGCACCCGTTCGCGGAAAGTTTCCCGCCCACCTGTCCTTTCAGGGCCCGCACGGATGCATCCGCCATTTGAACGACGACGATAACATTCCGCGAATTTGCGCCACAAGTCTGTTGTCGCAAGCATCGCGCCTTCACCGTCCGCTCTAGCCGCCGGCATTGGCATCGCGTCGCCATCTCCCCCGTTCCCATCTCCCGCGTCACCATCTCCGGCATCGCCATCTCCCGTGTCGCCATTTCCAGCGTCGACATCTCTCGCGCGGCTATATCCCACGTGACCCCGTCGGCACGTCAAAATATCTCGCCTCGCCTTCTCACGCATTGCCATGGCCCGCGCGGCCATCTCAGGCGTTGCCATCTTCCGCGCGGCCATCTCCGAAGTTGGCATCTCCCTCGTGGCCATCTCCCTCGTGTCGCCATCTACCTCGTGGCCATCTCCCAAGTCGACGACGACGTTGCCATCCCGCAGCGCTTCTAACACAATGACGAAAAAGGTGCGTTCTCTCTCTCTCTCTCTCTCTCTCTCTCTCTCTCTCTCTCTCTCTCTCTCTCTCTCTCTCT